TGTTTATCCTAAGGAGGAGAAAAAAAAAGGAAAGTAAAAGAAAAGAGAAACAGCAGGAGAGTGTCGAGGAAGAAGCTATTTACTCAACGAACGCATCCTGTTTGCGCAAACATCAGGCAAGAAGCTAGCAAAATATCTTACACTATGAGGTGACACGTCTTTCTTTTTCTTCTTCTTCTTTTCTTTTTGGGTTGTTTTGTAGCCTTTTTTTTTTTTTTTACTGTTTTATTTTCAAATAAGCGCTGCAAAAATAAAATGATTAAAAAAATAAAATTAATGTTCGTAGCACTGCAAAAATAAAATGATTTTAAAAAATTAAATTAATGTTCGTAGCACTTGAACTGGTTTCAAATTTTCAAATGACGAAACCTTCAAGCCAACACTTAGCTACAAGAAGAATAAGTAAGATGTAATTTGAAAATAGTTGTAGTAGTGGTGGGGAAGACTATCTCGTCTCTGAAGGTAATGTTGATCCTTTAAACACTCTGTGCAAGTACTAGCCGGTTGTTGGTTTTTTTTCCTTAATATTTTTCTTTTCAACTTGGTTTGTTTGGGAGGATATTTTGGTTGCACCTCAGCTGTCTGATATGTTTTTGTCTGAAGTTCGATCCCTTGTGGAGAGAAATTTTAGAGATCCGAAGAATGGCACAAATGGCGCATTTTTTAAAGAGATACATCTATTAAGATACTACGAATGTCATCATTTATATGATCTCATACTGACTACTGCAACTCACTCCTTTAAAATAATAATAAACCAACAGAACTAATGAATAAACTGCAACGACATCAAAACCAAGCTGAGGGAATTTCTTTCAAAAAGACTCTAAAACACACGCCGCCGTTGTTTTTGCAGCAACATTGACCCCCTGTTGAACCCCGTATTTATTACAATTTTACATTAATATTATGCTAGTAGTGTTTAAACGATGTGACAGCAGTGTCTTTCTAATTTACTACATGAGTTTATTCCATCTCGAAATTCACACTACGTTAATAAAAAGCAACTCAAGACTCTCTTGTAAAACTAAAACAAAGGTAGGGCTTATTCGACAGCTGTTCCAATAGTGTGGAATCCCACCCCCCTTTCCCCCTTTCTACCATTTTTTGCACTTAAAAGAGGAGCCTACTTTGACCGCATTTTAATCTGTTTAAAAAAAATAATATTATGTTTATTTGAATCTCATTAGACTAACTTGTTTTTCTTCCATCAGCAAATGTTACCAAAAGCCCCAGTTCTTCTCTTCATGTGTATGTGTTTTTCGTCAGATTACTTGTCCATAATGAAAGAATAATGACAATGTGTTGTATTATGTTAAATGAGAGAGAATACATGAAACGTTGGTTGAAATCTTACTTTACTATGAGGTGCCTAGAGTCCCAAGGGAGCTTGCGCTGTAGACGTGATCTTTGTTACTATTATTATTATAATTAATAGTAGTAGTAGTTATAGTAGTAGTAGTAGTAGTAGTAGTAGTAGTAGTAGTAGTAGTAGTAGTAGTAGTAGTAGTAGTAGTAGTAGTAGTAGTACTG